CCCGCCCTCCCCCTGCCGCTGCCCCTCTCTCCTCCCCCCCCCCCGCCGCCAGCCTTCCGCCGAGGGCGAGGCGGGCCGAAGGCGAGGCCCCCTCGTGGAGCGCCCCCCTTCCGGGAAGCCCCTCCCGCGCGGGCGCTCGCGGGCGTCTCCGCGGGCGCCTCCGCCGCTCGGCCGGCGCCGGCTGACCGCCCGCCTCCCCGAAAGGGGCCCCAGGGCACGCGAATAAGTGCACACAAATAAAAATACCCCTCATATTTTCCCATATTTTTTGGGGGGGGTTCGTCTTCCCCCCCCACTGCCCCTAGTTTCCCCATGTGTTCTGGGGCATATCGCCGATGAGTCGTGTCTGTGTGTTCCTTTCCCTCCCGAGTTGCACCTTGACCGAGGACTCGCAGAGGCGGCCAAAAAAGATGTCTGGGGCATGGCTCGCGCCCGTCGGCGCTCTCCCCAAGCAGAGAGCCCCAGCGTCCCCGGAAAGCTTCACTCCCGACATCGGAGGGAGAGCCCGCGTGTCGTGTTGGCGCTCGCGCCTCCGGGATGGAGCGGCCGCTCGAAGCAAGGGGCCTCCTCCCCCCGCTTGCCGCCGCATATCGCGCCCTGTTCCTTTTGTTTCCCGCGCTTGTACATCCTCCTTGTGGTGAGAGCGGGAGAAGGACGAGGCGGGGCAAGAGGAAGAGAAAGCGCTCCTCGTGGTTTGAGTCGTTTGGGGTTTCTCGTCCTGGTGTGAGTCGTTCGGGCCCTTCTCCGGCAGATCGGGGCCCCCGTGCCCAGGTCATCGGCTGCCGACGCGCAGCTGCTGCCGGAAGGCGCCCCGAGGCTGGAAAAGAGGCCCAGGCCCTCGTGATATGGCGCCGCACCGCGAGGGGCCCCGAGCGAGGCTGCTCTCTGCAGGCTCGGGCAAACGTGCTCGCATGGAGTGTCCGTGCCCCCTTTCGGGGATGGACAGACCCCCCTTTAGCAAAACGTGGTTTAGTGAAAACGACCTGAGGCCCAAACCTCGCGGGCGCAAGCCTGGAAAATCACGGCCACGGCGCCCTCTCGAAAACCGAAAAAGGACAATTCACTAATCGACGTGTCACTGTTGGGGGTTCTGTCCACCCCCGATCGAAGCAAGGGGCCTCCTCCCCCCGCTCCGGCAGATCGGGGCCCCCGCGCCCAGATCATCGGATGCCGACGCGCAGCTGCCGGAAGGCGCCCCGAGGCTGGAAGGGGCCCAGACCCTCGTGATGGTTGGTGCCGCACCGCGCGGGGCCCCGAGCGAGGCGGTTCTCTGCGGGCTCGGGCAAACGTGCTCGCATGGAGTGTCCGTGCCCCCTTCCCCCCTCCGCGAGGCGCAGCTGCTCGAGGCGTCCCGAGGCTGCAGATTGCCCCAAGTCCTTCTGATGCCTCCGCAACGCGGAAGGGCGCCCCGAACGAGGCTGCTCTCTTGAGGCTCCGGCAGCTTTACTTTCTGGAATCCCACCAGCCCTTTAGGGCGTGAGTGGTTTAGAGAGCCCTCTCTGTCCTCAACCCCCCTTCTTCCCCTTCGGGGAGGGGTTTACCCCTCCCCCTCCCCCCTCCCCCTGGGTCTGGAAAGGGCGGGCCGCGGGTCGTTGGAGGGGTCTTTTTCGACTCCTGGGAGAGCTAAAAAACGACGACCCTCACGAGGATTCTGCCCCCGACGGGGGGAGTGAGAAAAAATGCTCTCCTCTTCTGTGAAGCCAAAATCCTTGCTTTTACGATGGTTTTGGCCCCATTTTGGCCTCCCGAGGGGGCCGCGCTCATCTTCCTTCATAGCAAAATCATTGACTTTACGAAGGCTTTGGGCTCATTTTGTCCTTCTCAGGGGGCAGCGCTTCTTTGCGCTTCTGAGGAGGTCGCCAGAGGCCCCAAGATGGCCCCCAGAGGCCCCCAGGAGCCTCCCAAGAGGCCTCCAAGAGGCCCCCAAGAGGCCCCCAAGAGGCCCCAAGAGGCCCCCAAGAGGCCCCCAAGAGGCCCCCAAGACGCCCCCAGAGGCCCCAGGAGGCCCCCAAGAGGCCCCCAAGAGGCCCCCAAGAGGCCCCCAAGAGGCCCCAAGAGGCTCCAAGAGGCCCCCAAGAGGCCCCACGAGGAGCCCGAACGACTCACACCAGGACGAGGGGCCCGAACGACTCACACCACGAAGAGCCCGAACGACTCACACCACAAGGAGGGGCCCGAACGACTCACACCAGGACGAGGCGCCCGAACGACTCACACCACGAGGAGCCCGAACGACTCACACCACGACGCGGGCCCCGAACGACTCACACCACGAGGAGCCCGAACGAGTCACACCAGGAGGAGGGGCCCGAACGACTCACACCAGGATGAGGGGCCCGAACAACTCACACCACGAGAAGCCCGAACGACTCACACCAGGACGAAGAGCCCGAACGACTCACACCACGAAGAGCCCGAACGACTCACACCAGGAAGAAGGGCCCGAACGACTCACACCAGGACGAGAAACCCCAAACGACTCAAATCACGAGGAGCGCTTTCTCTCCCTCCTCCTCCGCCTCGTCCTTCTCCCGCTCCCCCCACAAGGAGGATGCACAAGGAGGCGGGAGGAAGGAGTCGACAGGGGAGATATGCGGGGCCAAACGGACACACGCCTGAAAAACACGACTGTCGGCATGCTTCGCATGAGTTGCTGTTGTGAGATGGGCTGGTGGGGATACGCGAAGCGTAAAGAATTTCCGCGCCCTTCCCCCTCCACCGCCTTTTTGTCCATGGAGCGCCGGGCCGGAACGGCGTGCAAAGCGAGTCCCAGCTGGCGTGATGGGCAAGAGATTCCCTTGGGGCCTCGCCACGCCCCCTCCCCCTCTAAGACAAAGCCAGGACGAGGCTTGAATCGGGTGCGGATAAATCGAGAATCTCTGAGATCCAGCGGCTCTGGAGCATGTCTCGGGCGCCGCGGCCTGCTCCGCTCCTGGCGTTGCGGAAAGCTCTGGAACGGATGTATCCTCGTCCCAGCCCCGTCCGACCCTCCCCGCTGCATCCCAGATCATTGGATACCGGAGCTTGTCGGTCGCGATTGGTCTAGCGAAGAGCGAAGGATCGGAACTCCAAGTCGGTCGCGCTCGATTCCAGAACCGATCGCTGCCGCTCGCGACCGATCCGCGACCGATCGGTCGCAACCGATTCTGAAGCAGATGGGTCGCGACCGAGACTGAAATTTTCAGAAGCATCTGTAGCGAACGATGTCGTCGGCCGATCTCGTCGGCCACGACCAAAAAAATTCAGGCATCCGATGACCAAGGTTCCCCGAAAGCAGACCGCCTCGGACTACACCGGCTCGGACTACACAGGGGGCCTGTTGAGCCCAGCTCGGAGACTTCTGGGGGGCTGGTTGAGTCCAGCTGGGACGACCTGGGGAGCTGTCTGTGAGCAACCCCCAGACCTCTCAAGTCATGATTTTTGTCACAACGTCGACCCCAAAGGTCTCGACCCCCTTTTCCCGGGACCAGCTAGTAATCCCGAGTCGTTGTTGGAAGGTCCCTGGGCCCGGCGAGGGCCCCCAGATGCCGAAAAAGTGAGAGACCTCCCGTCCTGATTTATTCACGATTCGAGAGGGTCTGGGCCCGAAGTCTTCCCAGCCAGAGTCGGGAGAAAAACGGCCTCAAGCCTCCCCCGCTCTGCTGAGGTGACCGCGGCGGTTGCTACGGGGATATGGGGCTTGGAGGTGGATGCCAAGGCGGGTTGTATCTGGCCTAATCTAGCTTCTAAGTGGGTGTCGTGTCGTGTTCCCTGAGGTAGCTTAGGTTGATTCGAGAAATAGTTCTGCCAAGTGGAATCCGCACACTTTTAAATCAAATCAGAACCCCCCAATCAACCACATCGGGTACCAGAAACCCACTTATAAGCCAAGTTAGGCCAGAGATGCCACACCTTAGCATCCATTTCTATGCCCCCTGCAGTCATGGCACTGCCAGAGGGAGTGCACAACAAAGAACGAAACCATTTTTCAAAATCACTTAACACATGTCTGAAGACCGGCTGGGCCCCTCTTTGGAAATTTCTCTCGTCGTTGCCTCTCGCTTTGAAAGTGCCTCCCCTCTGCCGAGGCCCGAGGAATTGGCTGTCCTCCGAAATTGCCAAGGAGCGAAAGCAAACCCAGGGAACCACTGAGCCCCTTCCGAACCCGAACTGGGTCTTCTTTTCAGCGTTGTGACTGCATCCCCATAGCAACCGCCGCGGTCATCTCAGAAGCCTCCCCCCGCTCTGGGGTGGCCGCGGCCCACTTAGCCCGGGTCGCTAGCCCCATAGGGCACATGTAGCCCACTTCTGGCCATCGCTCGGACGTCCATTCCCTGTGTTTTTTTTCTGTTTCGCGCGTTTTTTTTTCGCCAGGTGGTCGAGGATGCTCCTCGAAGGTCCTCGCCGAAGGAAGCATGCACACGTCCGAGCGATGCCAAGACTTAGAAGCTAGGCTGGGCCAGACATGACCCACCTCAACATCCACTCTTAACCCCTGCCCATCCCCGTAGCAACCGCCGCGGTCATCTCAGAAGCCTTCCCCCGCTCTGGGGTGGCCGCGGGGCCTAAACCACTTCGAACACCTATGACTTGCCATCGCTTGGACGTCCATTCCCCGTGCACTGTTCGTCTCCGTGCGCGTATAGTTTCGCTAGCTGATCCAAGAGATGCTCCTCGATGGGCCTCGCCAAGAAAAAAGCCACACTTCCGAGCGATGTTGAAGTAACCCACTGATAAGCCAGGTTAGGCGACATGCAGTCAGCCCGCACAGTAAGGATGGGCAACCTTCCCTACCCTTGCATCCTTGCCTCCTCGGTCCATCCTTGGTCGCTTTTGCTGGCCGCGCCCCGCCCGCGAAGTGTCGACACGCTCTTCCAAGGCCCTTGCATCCTTGTCGTGCGTCCTCATGATGCGGGTCGACGGCACTCCATCTCAGCATCCGCTTCTGGCCTTTCTCTCCCCTCGGCAACCGCCTCGGCCGTCTCGGAGCCCCCCCCCGCTCCAGGGCGGCCGCGGGGTGCCTCCCGGCGTGGCTCCAGGCAGGGCCGCGGCGGTGGGCGCGTCGCCGAGGCTGCAGCTGCTGCCGCCGCCGCCGTCGCCGGCTCTCCTTGCGCGGCTCGTCTTTTGGGGGGGGGGGCGCGGCAGCCCGGGGGCCCGCCGAAGTCCCCCTCCTCGCCCTCTCTCGTTCTGTGCCTGGGGAAGGCTCAGGTGCCGATGTACATGTCTCTCTGCCTGTCTGTCTTTCTGTCTGTCTGCCTGTCTCTATCTCTGTGCCTCTGTATACTTGTGTACTTGTGTACACATATAACTATAAAAAGAAATGGAAGTATATTTATGCTTATATATACATAGATCCACGCACGCTGCGTCCACAAAGGATAGTCGGCGCCTGCGGCGGGCTCTTTGTCTCAAGTGTGTATGCCTCGGCGCTGCGGCGGGCTTACATATAGCCTCGCAGACTGCCGACGACCCCGCCGCCCCCTCACTCTTATCCCCAGCTGCGGGGGCTCTGATATATACGACCGCCACCGTGCTCATAATTCCTTCTGAACACAGAATATTGCACGCGTTCCTCAATTAAAAGGCCCACAACCTCTGGTTCCGCGTGCTCACGGGTACACCTGGGGCTTCCCACTAAATTTCATCGGAAGCAAGGGGGCCCAAAGAAAGGCGAAGAAGGCTCCAGGGCGCCACCGTGTCGGTCTAAGCCTGTCCCGGGATGGCCCAAGAGCGCTCCAAGATGCAGTAGATGGCCGCAAAACGGCCCAAGAGGCCCCCAATACGCTGCAAGAAACTTCCAATTAAACAGGGTCCGAAGAGGCCAATCTCATTATCTGAATGCGTTGCGGATGGGGTAAAGGGTTTTCACGTTCTCGCCTTTTCTGGTTTCCGACGGTCCAAGAACGACCTGAGGGGCAACCAAGATCGCTCAAAGACAACTCAAAAGAGCCCACGGAAGGCCCAAGACGGCCCAAAAGGACCCCAAGATGGTCCAAGACGCCCCCAAGTCGGCATAAGAGGGCCCCGACCAAGTCCTTCGTCATGTTTCCAAGACGCGAGGTCTAAACTCCGCACTGGGGATCTATGAAACCTATTCCCCAAGGCTTGCTCGAGCAACTCGTCGGCCCCTGCATGGGTCTCTCCCCCCGGGGTGCGTTCTGACGAAGATTTCGATGCGAACCCAACCGCGACAAATGAAAGGTATCGGTTTGAGACAACTTTTTTCCCCCCGTAACGTCCGTGACGGGGGGGGGATCGGCCGCCATGGGGGGGGTAACGGTAACGTGGCGGGCTCGGGCATGGTACTAGCAGTAGTGATGGTCGTAGCAGCACTAGCAATAGTAGGAGTACTGGTGAAAGCCACGAAGACGAAGAGGAAGACGACGACAACCAACGGCGACGGCAACGACAAAGATAACGACAACAGCAACGACGACGCCGAGGACGACGACGACGACCATCACGACGAAGACGACAACGACCGGCCAGGACGGCGACGACGACAACGACGACGACCAGCGGCGGCGACGACGACGACGATCAACGGCGACGACAACGACGACCAGCGGTGACGACGACGACGACGACGACTGGCGGCGGCAGGGAAAAATAGCAGTAGAACTAGGAATAGAGGTATCAACAAAAGTAGAAACAATAGCAACGCTATCACAAGAAGTAGTCGTGATAGGACTACGACCTGTAGTCGTATTCGTGGCACGAGTGGTGCCATTTCTAGCATAGTGATGACGGCTGCAACCAAGAATGCTTCAGCTCCGACTACAAAAATGCTGTACAACTCGTACTTTTTCTACGACCATTACGCCTACTACTACTGCTTCTACTACGACTACCACTACTACTGCGATTCCGATTACCACTACTACTACTACTACTACTACTACTACTACTACTACTACTACTACTACTACTACTACTACTGCGACTGCGACTACGACTACGACTACTACTACTACTACTACTACTACTACTACTACTACTACTACTACTACTACTACTACTACTACTACTACTACTACTACTACTACTACTACTACTACTACTACTACTACTACTACTACTACTACTACTACTACTACTACTACTACTACTACTACTACTACTACTACTACTACGACGACGACGACGACGACGACGACGACGACGACGACTACTACTACTACTTACTACTACTACTACTACTACTACTACTACTACTACTACTACTACTACTACTACTACTACTACTACTACTACTATTGCTACTACTACTACTACGCCGACTACTACTACTACTACTACTACTACTACTACTACTACTACTACTACTACGACTACTACTACTACTACTACTACTACTACTACTACTACTACTACTACTACGACTACTGCTACACATACTGATGATAATACGTGTCCTACAATTTCTACCATGATTTCTGCGATTGCTGGTACAATTAGACCGCACAAGTGCGTGGTGTGAAATAGATAAAGCGTGATACGGCGCAACCCATAACCATGATTGTAACGCAAGTAAGGGAAATACGCAGAACTATGTATAGCAATACTAATGGTAATAGTCGTCATAGTACCAGTCGTAGTAGTCGCACGAGTAGTCGTAGAAGTAAAACTGGTGGTGGTGATAGTAAAAGTAAGATCAATGTTCATACTCGTAGTCGGTAGTAGTAGTAGAAGTAGTAGTCGTAGTCGTAATAGTACTCGTGGTCGTAGTAGCAATAAGAATCGTCGTCGTAGAAAAAGCCACACTAAAAGTGGTAGCAATAGTAGTTCTAGTAGTCGTAGTAGTAGTCGCGATAATAATATTAGAGAGAGCGTAATCCACCGCCGCTTTACTGCGGAAAATTGCCAACCTTTTCCTCTGGAGCCCGGGGGTCTCCCCCCCCCCCCTCTCCGAAAATCCCCCCCCGCTGCTGGAACCCCTCCCCCCCCCCCCCTCCCTCCCGGCAAAACCCCCCCTCCCCTAACCCCTCCCCCCCCCCCCTCCCCATCGAAAAACCGGGGGGTCACTACCGGTTCGAACCCCTCCCCCTCCCCCCCCCCCCCCCCCCCCCTCCGGATCCGGAAAACCGGGGGGGGTCACTACCGGTTGGAACCCCCCCCCCCCCCCCTCCCCCCCCCCCCTCGAAAACCGGAGGGGGGTCACTACCGGTTCGACCCCCTCCCCCCACGCACCGCCAGCAAACGACTCCCGGTCCCTACCACCGCTCGCATGACATCCCCCACTGTTGTTCCCAGCACCACTGTCCTCACCACCACTGCCCCCGCTGGTTCCACCACCGTCCCTATTGTCCCCACCAGTGCCCCCACCACTGTCGCACTGTCCCCACTGTTCCCACAACTGTTCCCACCACGGTTCCACTCTCCCCACTGTCTCCACGGACCCAACCACTGCCTATCCCCACTGTCCCCACTGTCCCACTGACTCCTCCGCTGTCCCACTGAGCTGTCCCACTGTTCCCACCACTGTCCCCACTGTCCCCACCACTGTCCCCACTGTACCTCTGTCCCATTGTCCCACCGCCGTCCTCGCCACCGCCTTTACCAGTGTCCCCACCACCATTGTACCCTCCACTGTCCCAGTGTTTCCACCTCATTCCCACTGTCCCCACACCACTGTCCCCACCACCACCGTTCCCACCACTGTCCACTGTCCCCCCTGTTCCCACCATTGTCCCCACCACTGTCCCCACCACTACCGTCCCCACCGCTGTCCCACTGTCCCCCCACTGTCCCCACCACTGTCCCGCTGTCCCCTCACCACTGTCCCCACCAACACCGTCCCCACCACTGTCCGCACCCCCACTCGGTTTTCGAGGGGGGGGGGGGTTCGAACCGGTAGTGACCCCCCCCCCTTTTCATGATGAGCTGGGGGGGGGGGGGGGGGGGGAGGGGTTCGAACCGGTAGTGACCCCCTGGTTTTCCGGAGGGGGGGGGGGGGGAGGGGTTCGAACCGGTAGTGACCCCCCCCGGTTTTCCGCCAGCAGCGGTAGAACACGCTCTTTCTGATATTAATAGAAGTCGTAAGGGTAATGGTAGTCGTGGTAGTCGGAGTCGTAGTAACCGTAGTATTCGTAGCAGTGGGAGTAGAAGCAGTCGTAGTAATAAGTTCAATCGGAGAAATACTATTAATAATAGTCGTACTAGTAGCAAAAGAGATAGCCGACGTCGTCGTAGTAGTAGTAATCAGATTCGTGGTAGTCGTGGTAGTAGTAAACAAGATCGTATATCAGAAATAGAAAGCGTACTAATAGTAGACGTAGTAATGGAAGTGGTAGTCGTAACCGTACCTTTCGTAATCGTGATAATAGGAACACAAATAGCAATCGTAGCAAGGGTAGTCGTAGTAGTAATGCTACTAGTAATCGTAGGGATAGAGGTAGTCGTAATAGTAATTATCGTAGTACGAGGAATAAGAGTAGCCGTAGTAATAGTAGTAGTAGTAGTAGTAGTAGTAGTAGTAGTAGTAGTAGTAGTAGTAGTACGAGTAATAGTGTTGTTGCAGTCGTAGCAGCAATAGTAATACTAATACTGCTATTCGTATTCGTGGTAGTACCCGTAGTGGTAGTGAACATCCTACTGCTAGTAATAGTAGCATTAGCAGTTGAACAAGTAGTCGTAGACGTGGCACTGGTACTAGAGCAGTCGTAGTTGGTGCTGTTGCATAAGTAGTCACAGTAGAAGTAGTAGTAGTAGTAGGAGGAATAGTAAACTATGGATGGCGGTAGCAGTAGGGGCAATAGTGATAGTTGTATTGACATTTGGAGTCGTAGTCGTTGTTGTAACAATAAGGATAGTCGAGTTGGTCGTACCCGTCGCAATCGCCATGATGATTAAGGATGCCGTAGTACTAGTAGAAGTAGTAGTACGTAGTAGCAGTAGTAGTCGTAGTAGTAGTAGTCGTGGTAGTAGTTGTAGTTAGGGTAGTTGTAGTAGTAGAAATAGTGGTGGTAGTAGTAGTAGTAGTAGTACTACGAGTAGTAGTAGTAGTAGTAGTAGTAGTAGTAGTAGTAGTAGTGGTCGTAGTAGTAGTAGTAGTAGTAATAGTAGTCGTCAAGGTAGTGGTAGTCGGGGCAACAAAGGTAGTAGTTG